GCTAACTCTCACTGCTGGTGCCTGAGCACAGTGTGCCCTAAAGGAGGGAGCATCTGGGGAAGTAGGCACCACTTTATCATCCCTATTTTACAGGTGAGGAAATGGAAGCTCACCAAAGGTCAGTAATTGGCATAACTGGAATTTGACTTTCAGATGTGATTCCAGTGTACAGTCTCTTTCCACACTACTCCAGGCAACCTACTTAGCTCCTTTGATGTTCAGTTTTCCCATTTATAAAAAAGAGATACATATACATCCTGCTTGCCTCAAAGGGCTGTTGTAACAACCATTTTGTACAATGGATAGAAAGAGCCCTTTCAAAAATTGTTTTGAATGAAAGTTAAGCAATGCACACACCTCCATATAGATGTGACATCTACACATACCTATGAGGTTGAAGTTGGAGACAACTTAGCGTCTGATCCAATCTTCTGCTTTGGATGGACATGAAACTAGCAGGAAGCTGGGTGGTTGCAGAGTCAAGATTAGAGTTTGTGTCTCTGGGTTTCTATTCCAGGGCTCTTTCCAAGGGGCCTTCAGGAGCCAGCAGGCTGGGCAGAGCCTGGTGCTGCTGTACTTCCGTGGCTCTGCTCTCCACGTTATTTCCTTCCTCTACCCACCCTGCTGTGTTCTCTGAGCAACAAGAAACCATTGGAGGTTTGGGGGCAGTGCAACCAGGGCTCAGTAAAGTGACCTCAATAAAGTGGCCGCAGTGTGTGCAATGGTCTGCCCTAGGGACCCTTAGCCAGGGGAGTGACAGTGGAAGAAAACACTGTCAGAGGCAGAATCCGCTGAACATGACAGCTTCTTTTATGCAAGGGTGACAGGTGGGAGATGAGAAGAAAACCCAAAACATTCTGCAATTCTGAGATTGAGTCACAGGAGAACCAGTGGTGCCATAAAAAGAAATGAAGGAGTTAAAAGGAAAGACTGGTTTTCGGAAGGGAAGATGACAATTCAGTTTTGCACCAGAAACTGAGGGTAAGACCTGGATAGGCCCAAACAACATATCTGGTGAGACCTCTCCCTTGCCTTGGGGAGGCCACATTAACTGGAAGCTCAGCATTGCCTATGCAGGAGCCTGGTGGAAGTGTGCTCTGGCCCTGGGGAAGGGGCGGCGCTGTAGATGTGGTTTTAGGCTGCAGAGTCATACTAGATGTCGTGCCTGAAGGAGGAAAAACTGAGTGAGCCAAGGGCCAACAGCATTTGGAGGGAAGAAGTAGGAAAAGAAACAAACGGAGGAGGCAGAAAAGGAGTGGTCCAAAGCAGGTTGGGGCTGGTGCCTTGTCAAAGAATCAGGGAGTGTGGAATATCAGGAAGTCAGTCTGCCAGATGTCACTCAGAGGTCTGAGAGGGCACGACTGGACTTGCTGGTGACCACTGAGAGAGGGTTCCTGGAAGTTGATGGGAATAGGCAAAAAGGGTTGCCTTCACAGTCTGGGGTTTGTGATCCAGGGTGCTGTCTACAATGCGCAGGCTGGGGGCCAGACTTTATATACCTGAGCATCTGTGTTTCCATGCATCTGCAGAGATGGAGTAATAAACCTCATTGGAAAGATGAAGTCAGAAGGAAGAATGAGAACCACCATCCACCGAAGGCCTGCTCTGCCCCAGTGTGCAAGTGCTTTTGTCCATTATTTGAAAGTCCTTGGTCCACCTAAATGGATAAACCAATGGCAGTAATCGTTATCTTTACTATTAGAATTGGAGAAGATTGTAATGATCTGAGAAATGAATGGGAGACAGAACGTACACCCAGAAAGGGCTGACTATGCATTCACAAAATTCAACAGTGAATGGATTGTGAAAGATAGGGGTGATGGCTTGAGGAAAAAGCAACTTAGAAGATATTTTCAAGATTAGTGATGACTTGGCCATATTTATCAACCAAGGAAATGAAAAGATGGAAGAAGCCAGGAGGGTAATCTGTTGGTCCTTTGTCTGCCAGATGCTTTGCATCAATGGCACAGTAGTTCTCGTGGGCGCACAGGCTGCTGGGTGTCTAAAGGGTGCTTTTCACTGCCAATGGCTCATGCCTGTAATCCTAGCACTCTGGAAGGCTGAGGCAGGTAGACTGCTTGAGCTTAGGAGTTTAAGACCAGACTGAGCAAGAGCAAGATCCCATTTCAACTAAAAATAGAAAAACTAGGCAGATGTAGTGGCAGATACCTGTAGACCTAGCTACTTGGGAGGCTGAGCTAAGAGGATTTCTTGAGCCCGAGAGGTTGAGGTTGCTGTGAACTGTGGACACCACAGCTTCCATGGCCCTACCAGTCTCCTGGTCAATATCAGAGACACCTTGTAAGGAGAGGATGGCACCCATTCAGTGGGATTGGTGGCATGGCTTCCATCCCCACAGGCTCTGTCTCCCAAAGCACTTCCCCACCTGGCCCAGCCTTTTACCCATTTGGCTGGCTGAGAGGGTCTGGGCTCTAAGCTACCCAGGCTGGCATCTTTTGTTCCTGATAAAGTACTGTGCAAAGACCATAGCAAAATCCTGGCAAGATCTCCAGGGAGCTGCAATCCTTTGGTACTGTATGGGTGTGGGGGTCAGGAGCATTTGTGGGACCAGAGGAAGCTATGGGAACCTCATCTCCCTGTGAGAGTACCCCTTTTCTTAAGCTCTCTGAAGGTGGTTGGATACTATGGGCTCTTCTCTAAGAAAATGGTCCCATCAGTCTCCCCAAGTAGAGAAAAAGGGCAGTAAATAAGACAGAAGAGGGAAGAGGACAGTGGGGCAAGGTCATGTCTGGTATGGGATCAGCCTCCTAAAGTTCTCTTAGTTCAGACCTCTTCTCTGCTCAAGCAGTGCCCTGGCCATTGTGCTGATCTAGCTGCTTCCTTGGTCTCTTCCTTACATCCTATCCCAGCCCCAGTTGGCCTGGGAATTTCTTCCCCACCACAGAATTGATCACACCTGCTTTATAGAATCTTCCATCCTTATCCTTGCAGGGGCGGTAGGTTTTCCCTGTGAACCCTGCCCACTCCTGGCCTCCATAGAGCCATTCTTCACTGTTCATTCATTCACATCTTCAGCACATGTATTTTCCTACTGACTAGTGTTGGAAGCTGGTGGGAACCCCAGGTCCTGGCCAATCCACACTCTTCATCCCCCACCCCACAAGCCACCACATACTTGCTGCTTTTTAGGGCCTTGGAGCCTTCAAAGTCTCCTCCCTGAGACACTCCCTAGGTTTTTCTTTCACTCTGTTTTCTGAGCTCCACAATCCTTTAAAATTTTTCATTAAAATTATTTGTGTTGTGTAGGTCCATTTTTGAAAAACTAGCACTCTTGTTTCTATTTCAGCAAAACTTTAACAGGCAGAGAAGTAGGTGTGCTCTCCCTAGTGCTTGCTTCTTATCTTGCCCTGGAAGCTTTCTTGTTTGGTTATCTGTTTGCGCTCCTCAAAGCCAGGGAGGCCTCCCTTGTCTAGAGCCTGTGGAGGGAGTGAGGGATGCTCAGGACTGATAACCCGCGTGAAATGACAGTTTTATCAACGAGTCACAGACTGTGGAAATGGCATAAATGGAGTTCTGTCTGGTCCCCCACTGCACCCTCACCAGCTGACCAGCATGATTGTTCATTGCCAGTGCATCAGTGTGAAGTCTGGAGGGCCCAGCTGTGCCACTTGCTAACCATGTCCTTTGGACATTTCAGCATTCTTAACACGAGCCACTCCATTTTTAAGTTATTTTTAACAAGTAAAGGCTGGCTGCCATGGCTCACAACTGTAATCCTAACACTCTAGGAGGTCAAGGAGGGAGGATCCCTTGAGCTCAGGAATTCCAGACCTCATCTCTACTAAATATAGAATGAATTAGCCAGGTGTTGTGTCCCTTGCCTGCAGTCTCACCTACTCCAGAGGCAGAGGCTGAGGCAGGAGGATCGCTTGAACCCAGGAGTCTGAGGTTGCTGTGAGGTAGGCTGAGGCCACAGCACTGTAGCCTAGAGTAACAGAATGAGATTCCATCTCAAAACAAGATGAACCAAACAAAAAACAAGTATGGGTCTTGTTTACCTTTGGGGGGTTATCTCACAGTGGTGAGAATCTAATGAGTAAGGTGTGTTGGCACTTGGGGACCTGCAAAGCACACACCCCACCCCTCTGTTCATCCTTAACTTCTCACATGTTCCTAGCCAGCCCTCTGGGGCTAGTCAGGCTCTGGGCACCAAGCAGCCCCATCCGGCTGTGATCTGAAGGAGCCCACTGTGTCCTCACATCTAGAAAACCCAAACCTCTCCCATCCCTTTGATACTCCAGTCTTCACTACCACCGTCAATTAATCCTGTGTGGTCATGTCTGCCCCTCCATGTCTCTCAGCTGGGCTGAGCTTCCTGAGTCCAGGGCAAGGACCGGGCCCATCCGACCAGCCTCCCACCATGGCGCCTAGTACAAGGCTCCTGCAATTCTAAGATTATCTGATCAGTGGGTTCAAAGGCCTGGACGAGCCCGAGGCCGGCTCGTCTTCTCCTGGGAGGCTGCAGGAGGGTGGCAGACAAGGAGGATGGCGCCGGATAATGTGGGAGATTGGAGTGCCGATTCCCGCAGGACCGCGAAAGGCTTCACCTAGTCAGGCAGTCCCGGAGTTGAGTCTTCAGGACCGAGGGTTTTGCCGGCCCGGGGCGACCGAGTCCTCTTTGTGCGGACATCAAGTGCAAAGCTCAGAGCGCCGGGCATGCGCGCAGTAGTCCCGGAACGCGCGGAGCCCAGTTGCAGCCCGCGCGCCCGCCCAGATCTCCCCTGGGATCTCCTCAGGCGCCCGCGGCTGGAGTGGGGGGAGGGAGGAGGTCGGACACGTAGCCTGCCTCGCGGCAGGGCTCGACTCCACACCGGCGGGCGGGGGAGCCGGGGACCCGCTGCTCCAGCCCGCTGGCCTTCGAAAGATCCTCCTGGGCCAATGGCAGGCGGGGCGACGCGACCCGATTGGTGCAGGCGCTCTGCTGATCACTGTGGAAACCCGGGCTGCGGAGAACGCGGGAGGATGCGGAACCCAGGGCGGGAGGGGGGGGCCGGAGGGGCGGGCGGAGGAGGCCTCGCGGTCCTGAGCTACCCGGGAGTTTCTACTGGAGGCAAAAGTCCACAGCGGGAGGGCTGAGGGAGGGGCGAACGAACGGGGCCGTTTGAGGGCACTGGGAGCTAGGGCCACTACGCCGGGAAGCCGGGGATACTCCCGAGCACCGGCGCGGAGGCTGGGGGCGGGGGCGCGGTGGGAGGAGGAGTAGCAGAAGACAAAAGCCGAAAGCGAAGGGGGCCCGGGCGGCACACACCGACCGGGAGGGGGCCGTCTGCAGCGAGCAGCAGCGCGGGGCGGCCGCAGTGCACAGGGCATCCCGGTCGGCGGGCAGCATGGGGAAGGGGGGGAACCAGGGCGAGGGGGCCACCGAGCGCGAGGCGCCGATGCCCACCTTCAGCTGGGAGGAGATTCAGAAACACAACCTGCGCACCGACAAGTGGCTTGTCATCGACCGTAAGGTTTACAACATCACCACATGGTCCAGCCGGCACCCGGGGGGCCACCGGGTCATCGGGCACTACGCGGGAGAAGATGCTACGGTAAGGGCCCGGGAGCTCCCCAGCCACCCTTCTCTGTTGCAGGCTGAATCAGGAGCCCTGGGTCTCTGGGCGCCTAGCAGATCTCCGCGCTGAACAGAGCCTGGGACGTTCAGGACGTGAGGAGGGAAGGAGAGTGTATCCCTAGCGCTCGTGCCCCCGCCCAGAATCCTCCTCTGGGCCGTCTTGGGGTGGGGTCGAATTTTGGATAGGGGGGCACAGCGCGGCGGTGGAGATCCCAGCGATGGAAAGCCGTGCAGGGTCTGAAGTGCACCCTGGAACCCACGCGTCCATTCGTTCCTCCGGGTTCTCTCGGAGCCAGGGACTCCCCAAAGGGGGGCGCTCGGGGCCTAGGGCTTTGGCGCCCCAACGTGGAAGATGGCCGCTCCTGGGTGCAGCGGAAAGGAGCCGGCTAGCAGGCAGCCAGGTGTAGGACTTGGAGCACGTCGCGCTCTCCAGCCAGAATAGCAGGCAGAGATGGAAAGCTCGTCCGCAGCCGGGGCTAGCTCCTGCCTGGACTCTTGTCTAAGAAGGTCGGCAATGGCTGCCTCGGAGCGTAGTAGATCGGGTTCCCACGCTCCCAAGGATTATCCAGACCCAACCCAAAGGTCTATTTTCTCTCGTGGACCGGTTTGGGGAATTAGTGGAAAGAGAAGGGGCTGGAGTTTGCAAAGCCCAGATTGAGAGGGAACTTCGAGTAGGGTAGATTTATTACTACTAGGCTGGCTTGGCAACAGGTCTGTCTGCACCGGGGTTACTCTCGGACATTCAACTCAAGGGCCCTCTTGTTTTTTAATCCTGCCAGGGAAGCCCTTCCCTCATCTTGTACTCCTAAAGGTAGTGGGCCTCTCCAGGCTGAACCAGAGCTGCCCATGGGCACCAAGTGTGTGGCTTAGCAATTACACAGCAATCCCAGCGAGGCCCCCAGCCTGGAATTCTCACATTTCTTTAAAAGTGCAACTAGAGGCTCGGCGCCTGTGGCTCAAGTGGCTAAGGTGCCAGCCACATACACCTAAGGTGGCAGGTTTGAATCCAGCCCAGCCTGCCAAACAACAATGACGGCTGCAACCAAAAAATAGCCAGGCGTTGTGGGGGGCACCTGTGGTCCCAGCTACTTGGGAGGCTGAGGTAGGAGACTCGCTTGAGCCCAGGAGTTGGAGGTTGCTGTGAGCTGTGATGCTACGGCAC